CCCCTTCCAGGAGTCCCCACACAGCCTGTTTGGGATGCAGGTAAGTGCAGGGTGCGCGCAGAGGCTTAGGGAGGGTGGAAAAACGGGCCTCCCAGAAGTTTGGGCCCATTTACGGCTTCCAGAGAGCCTCCGGAGTCCGGGGAGGCCATTTTCACCCTCCTGGAGGCTCGAGGAGGGCTAAAATGCCCCTCCCCTCCACCATGGTGCAGGAGGCCAACTAGACCACACCCACCATGGCCACGTCCAGCCAGCAACTGGGCAGAGAACCCTTTGCTAAAAAAATTTGAAGCCCACCCCTGGCTAGAAGCTCTAACATATGAAGAACAATTGCAGGAATTGTGCACGTCTAATGTGATGAAAAGATGAGAGGTGACATGATAGCAGTGTTCCAATATCTCGGGGGGCTGCCACAAAGAAGAGGGGTGTGTGTGTGTCAAGATATTTTCCAAAGCACCTGAAGGCAGGACAAGAAGCAATGGGTGGAAACTAATCAAGGAGAGAAGCAACCTAGGACTAAGGAGAAACATCCTGACAGTGAGAATAATTGATCAGTGGAACAACTTGGCTCCAGAAGTTGTGAATGCTTCAACACTGGAAGTTTTTAAGAAGAGGTTGGATAACCATTTGTCTGAAGTGGTGTAAGGGTTTCGTGCCTAGGCAGGGGTTGGACTAGAAGACCTCCAAGGTCCCTTCCAACTGTTATTCTGTTCTGTTATCCTGTTATTTCTGTATCCAGCCCAAAGAAAGTCCAGACTGGCACAGGATCTCCTGCCATAGGCAGGGGATTAAACTAGAAGACCTACAAGGTCCCTTCCGCCTCTATTATTTTACCCTATGTTCTAAGGCAGGGGTCTTGAAACTTGGCAGCTTTAAGATTTGTGGACTTCAACTCCCAGAATTCCTCCTCCAGTCATGTTAGCTCAGGAATAATTCTGGGAGTTGCAGTCCACAAGTCTTAAACTTGCCAAGTTTGAAAGACCCTTGATCTAATGTGTTAGTTGTCAGTTTCTGGCACCCTCCATCCTCAAAGAGCCCCTGCTAATTTCACAGTTGAGGTCACCTGGTCATGATGAGAGAAACCATGGTACATTGTTAGGAAAACAGGAAGATTTGACCAGGCTAGGGAAAGTAAATAAGATAAGAACACCCGTCCAAGGAAAAGCTTGGCAGCCCAGCAATAAATATAAGATAAAACACTGAGGCACAGGAAACAATGTCATGCTGACCCCAAGTTGGTAGTTTAGCATATAGAGAAAAAGGGTGGCAAGGGGAGGGCTTTCTAGGTGTGGTGTGTTCGGTGCAGGGGTATAAAATGTATTATTTAAGTAGCGAAATTTGCTCTCCTTGTACTCAATCCACTTGGGAAGGGTCCTGGAGGCTGCGTTTGAAACTTCTTTCCTTTCCTTCAATAAACCTTTGAAATTTTGCATCAGGGACTTGTCCCCGTGACATGACTATTTGCAAATTTATTTGGGGGGGGGGCTCTTAAATCTCACAATGAGACAATTTCTTCTTGAGATATGTGGAGGAAGAATGGCAGGGAGTGAACCCAGATAACACTCACACGGGAATCCTGGATTGTTTCATCATTTGGCACCACCTGTTTTCGCTCTTTTGCATTATGCATTATGGAGTTACTGTCTCATAGCTGTTTCTGTCAAGCCTCCCAAGCAGACCAGACAGGAAATATGACAAGGTGAGCTAATTCTACTTCATTATAAGGTTGCAATAACAGAACCTTACAAGAGTGAAAGTATAAATCTCCTGCTACCTTTTTTTTTTTTTTTTTGCTGCCGTATAAGCTAGGGTGATTCTTTTCTTAATTTCTTTCTCTTCTCTTGGTTCAGCTGCAGGCTGCCTCCTTATCTGATCATCCTGTAGGCAGCATTGTTTATTCCCTTTCCAAGGTCATTTTCACATACCCTTAAAGTTTTTATTTACCCCAAAACTACAGCTGCATCAACACTGTCTGCTAGTCCATTTTTGTAGAATAAACCACAACTGGCTGTTAAGACTTTACTAAGTCATAAATCACAGTTCACAAGTTAAAGTGGGAGAACCTCTTAATTTAAAAGCAAAACTACCACATTATACGGCATCGTGCTCCTGTAAATTTAATCTAGATTTTAGTTAATACTGAGCTGGACACAATTCCTGGTCATAAATAAATACTTGCTATCTGTCCACTATTGTCTCCCCCTTTTGTTATGTGCATAAATCTTATGATGTATAGATTTTTTTTCTAGTTACCCACTTGCACTACATATCCAATGTATGCAGATTTATGTCTGCTAATCAAAAACTCAACTGTTCTGGATGGACTAGTTTGACTTGCCGTCCGTGGTTTTCTTAGTAATTATACATTTAATCTATACAGTAATCCCCAACGTACAACCATTTGAAGTCACAATAGATCTTATAGTCATAAAATGAAAATTCAGGTAGTTAGTTACTGCCATATATGTACAATGTTTGCTGGGTCCTGTAGTTGTCATTCATACCTTCCTAGTCAACTTCCCACAAGCAAAGATAATAGGGGAAGCAGGATTTGCTTAACCATGTAGTACAGTGATTAAGAATTCAGATAATCAGAGTTGGAAGGGACCTTTATAGGTCATCTAGTCCAACCCCCCACCCAAGCAGGAGACCCTACACCATTTCTGACAGATGGGAGTCCAATCTCTTCTTGAAAGTCTCAAGTGATAGCGCTCCCACAACTTCCGGGGGCAAACTGTTCCATTGGTTGATTGTTCTGTCAGAAAGTTTCTCCTTATTTCCAGGTTAAATCTCTTCTTGTTCAGATTTGCTTAACAACTGCCTAATTTAGCAGTAGAAAATCTGGTCCCAACTATGTTCATAAATCAAGGACCACCTATATATAATTCCGGTAAGAGCCATTGTCTACTTTCTTATTAAAAACAGAAGTTGTCAAGTTTCCTTTTTAGAAAGACATTGCCACTTTTTCTTCTGTTTGTTTCTAGTGCAAACTAATGGAAGAAAAAGTGGAAATATTGTATTTGTCAAAAGAAAACTTCACAGCTTCTGTTTTTAATGAGAAATTAGACAATCGCTCCATTCTAATGGCAGAAAGTGAAGAGGAACTAAAGAGCCTCTTGATGCGGGTGAAGAAGGAGAGCGCAAAAAGTTGGCTTGAAACTCAACATTAGGAAAACTGAGATTATGGCATCGGCCCTCTCAATTCCTGGCAAATAGAAGCGGAAGAAATGGAGGTAGTGACAGATTTTATTTTCCTGGGCTCCAAGATCACAGCAGATGGGGACTGCAGCCAAGAAATTAAAAGAGGCTTGCTCCTGGGGAGGAAAGCTATGGCAAATCTAGACAGCACACTAAAAAGCAGAGACATCCCCCTGCCAACAAAAGTGCATATTGTCAAGGCTATGGTTTTCCCAGTTGCAATGTATGGCTGTGGAAGGTAGACCATAAGGAAGGCTGAGCACCAAAGAATTGAGGCCTTTGAACTCTGTTGCTGGAGAAGACTCCAGCGAGTCCCTTGGACTGCAAGGCCATCCAACCGGTCAGTCCTAGAGGAGATCAACCCTGACTGCTTTTTAGAAGGCTAGATCCTGAAGATGAAACTCAAATACTTTGGCCACATAATGAGAAGGAAGGACTTCTGGAGAAGAGCCTAAGGCTGGGAATGATCAAGGGCAAAAGAAGGGGACAGCAGAGAATGAGGTGGCTGGCTGGAGTCACTGAAGCAGTAGGTGTGAGCTTAAATGGACTCCAGAAGATGGTAGTGCAGGGGTCACCAATCTTCTGGACCTCAGGGAACCACCAAACTCATAATTTTAGATCCCAGGGACCACTAACCAGTTCTGTGGGCATGGCCTAATTTGTGGGCGTGGCTTGGTGGTCATGTGACTCGCTGGGCATGGCTTGTATGTAAATATTCTAAATATTTATATAAATATTGATTTTTTTATAAAAAAAGAGCAACTTTTACCAAAACCAGGCAAAGCAGGCAGGCAGATTGAGTTGCTCGTAGAATCACAGATTCATTCAGAGATCTATGTATCTGCCATTGGCTAGCTCAGTCTGTCACATAAAATTTACTTGCAAGCAAACTCACAAAATTAACTCACAACACACCATGCATGTAAATATTGAATTTTTTATTTAAAAAAGGAGCAACTTTTACCCAAAATCAGGCAAAGCAGGCAGATTGAGTTGCTCACAGAATCATTAAGTGATCTATCTATCTGCCGTCAGCTAGCTCAGTCTCTCAAATTTGCTTGCCATGAGTCTGCACTGAATTTGCTTGCAAGCAAACCTTCAGTCCTGAGGGAGGTTCGGCTGTGCTGAGCCAAAGATCTAAAGACTAGCTAGAAAGCAAGAAATCCAACCATTTCCTGCTTCCTAGCTAATCTAAATCTCGGAGCACAGCAGAACAGATGATGGTCAGAAAAAGGAAAAATAGCAATTTAGCAGGCAAGTTTGCGGGGTAAGGAGTGGGCGGGGAGGGTTCCCGCGGGCCATGTGGGGCAGCGCAGCCTTGTGTTTCTGTACAGCCTGGATTAATTGCTTTGCGAGGGTGCTCTGGGGGTGAGATTGCGGCCCACCGAAATTTTCTCACGGCCCACCAGTTGGCGACCACTGTGGTAGAGGACAGGAAGGCCTGGAGGAACATTGTCCATGGGGTCACGATGGGTGGGACATGACTTCGCAATTAACAGACAATGGCTCTTACCCGAATTATATACAGATAATCCTTGATTTACGAATATAATTGAGATTTTCTACTGCTAAATCAGGCAGTTTTTAACTGAATCACTCAGGTGTTCGTTAAGCAAATTCGGCTTCCCCTATTATTGTTGCCAGTTTTTTTCAAATCACATCTGTTTTTTTATTGCTTTCTTTTTCAGAGTTTCTACTTGCACTCCATTCTCATAAATTATAATCAATACAGCATTTTCTACTTACAGAAACAAAGAAAATATAAAAAAAACCCAAGAATTATGAAACATTTCAAAGTTATTTACCTTGTTAATCATTCATGTTTTCACTTTTTCCAAGTATTAAGCAAGGCGGATGGTCCTTCACCAAGACCTGTCGAAAAGTCAATGTGAGATTTTTAAAAAAGTAGACAGAAACATACCAATTGTCAGCGCTTGCAAAACAAAGCCATTATCACTCCTTAACTATACATTTAAATGCATTCACAATATATACCTGCCCATTACATAGTGTTTGTTATAATTTCAATATCTCCAATAACTCAGGGCTGCCACAAAGAAGGAGGAGCGAAGCTATTCTCCAAAGCCCCTGAGGGCAGGACAAGAAGCAATGGGTGGAAACTAATCAAGGAGAGAAGCAACTTAGAACTAAGGAGAAATTTCCTCACAGTGAGAACAATTAATCAGTGGAACGACTTGCCTCCAGAAGTCGTGAGTGCTCCAACCCTGGAAGTTTTTAAGAAGAGGTTGGACAAACATTTGTTTGAAATGATAGAGCTAGTCCATGATAGAGCTGCTTGAACAAGGAGTTGGACTAGAAGACCTCCAAGGTCCCTTCCAAGTTGTTATGCTATTCTTATCTACAGGCAAAGATTTATTTCCCTTGCACAGAAAAAGAATCCCATTTCAATGCATGAATATTCTTTAAGACAGTCCATGCCACACAATAAAAAATTGCTGTGACAAAAGTAAGTAGCATTCTAGGGTTGATTTTCCATATTATGCTAAAGTACATTTCCCTTGATTCAGATCAGCTGCAGAAACAAATACAAACTTGTTTTTAAATCTGAATATTAAAGCCTTCTCTTTCATCATACCACAAATGTTGTTTAAAACAGGAATTTCCCAGTCTATAACTACACCCCAGGTACTCCCCTCCCATAATTGCTTCACAACCTCAGTGAAAAATATAACCTGCAGCTAAACACCTTAGCTGATCAAAACAGACCCAAAATGTACCTAGGTTTTTAATAGTCACATTTTGTTACACATCAAACTAAACTTTAGGCTGTTTAAATAACAGGTCAGCAGGAGGAATATTATTTTAGCTGCTGATATCAGTGTTTGTGGCTGAGGTTTGCAGCTGGTTGACTTTGCTTTTGCGGTGTTGTTAGAAGTGCATGAACCCATGTTTGCATGTCAAAAAGGTCAGCCAGCAAAAACAGAACACCAAGAGAATGCAACACTGATAACATAACAGCGGGTTGATCTTTTCACACAAGCACATATGTACTAGTCATTTCCGGCTCTAGGGGATGGTGCTCACATCCGTTACAAAGCCAAAGAGCCAGCACTGTCTGAAGACATCTCCATGGTCATGTGGCTGGCATGACTAAATGCCAAAGGTGCACGGAACGCTGTTACCTTCCCGCCAAAGGGGTCCCTATTTTTCTACTTGCATTTTTACATGCTTTTGAACTGCTAGGTTGGCAGAAGCTGGGACAAGTAACAGGAGCTCACTCCACTATGTGGCACTAGGGATTCGAACTGCCGACCGCTCTGATCGACAAACTCAGCGTCTTAGCCACTGAGCCCCCACGTCCCTCTTAAGCTGCCATTAGAATCACATTAAAGATGAGCCTCTGTGGCACAGTGGTTAGAGTGCAGTACTGCAGGCTACTTCTGCTGCCTGCCTGCAATTTGACAATTCAAATCCCGCCAGGCTCAAGGTTAACCCAGCCTTCCATCCTTCCGAAGTGGGTAAAATGAGGATCCAGATTGTTGGTAGCAATAGGCTGACTCTGTAAAACCACTCAGAGGGGGATGTAAAAGCACTATGAAGCGGTATATAAGTCTAAGTGCTATTGCTACTTCAATGATCCAGGTTATTAAAGCAGCAGAATCTTATGGAGGCTCCCACACAGATCTTCCTGTTTTAACGAACACAAAGTAACTGCATTCACACAGGTTCCAAAATATTTCAAATCTCATATGATGAATGCACAGCTCTGGAACATGCACTGTTCCTTACATTCTGTGACAAGTTCACCAATTCTTTTTCTTTTCGCTGATGATGTAAAGCTATTCAACACCACCGACAATCCTGCTACCTTTCAAAAAGACCTTGACTATGTGTCAGAATGGTCAAACAAATGGCAACTTCAAATCTCAACAAATAAATGCTCTGTCTTACATATTGGCAAAAAATAAATAAATCAGAAAATAAAATACAAGCTGAATAGTCCAGACCTTGTTGATGATCCAAACTCTGTCAAGGACCTTGGAATACTCATCTCTAATGATCTAAATGCTAGAGCCCACTGTAACTACATAGCCAAAAAGGCATTAAGAGTTGTTAACCTAATCCTACGTAGCTTTTTCTCTGATAATATTACACTACTAACTAGAGCATACAAAACATTTGCTAGACCAATACTCGAATACAGCTCATCAGTCTGGAACCCGCATTACGTATCTGATATTGACACAGTTGAGAAAGTCCAGAAATATTTCACAAGAAGAGTTCTCCACTCCTCTACTAGTTGCGGAATACCTTATGCCACCAGACTTGAAATTTTAGAAAACCTAGAACTATGCCGCCTTCGATCCGATCTAGGTATAGTATATAAAATCATACATTGCAATTTTCTACCTGTCAATGAATACTTCAGTTTCAACCAATACAAGAGCAAACAATAGATACAAACTCAAGGTTAACCGCACGAAACTTGATTAGAGGAAATACGACTTCAGCCACAGAATGGTCAATGTCTGGAATATTCTACCTGACTCTGTGGTTTCCCAAACCCCAAAAACTGTAACCTTAGACTGTCTACTATTGACCTCGCCCCTTTCCTAAAAGGTCTGTAGGGGGCGTGCATAAGCACACCAATGTGCCTACCGTCCCTGTCCTATTGTTTCTTTTTATTTTTCTTATATGTGTCCATTTCATGTAATCATAACTATGTTTATACTTATACCTGTTATCTTATAATCGTTTGACAAAAATAAATAAATAAAATAAATAAGTAGAGAAATTCTACTAAACTTACACCCTATAAATACGATCATTTTGTAAACCCAACGTATGCAATAGAGGGGGCGGGGGGCGGGACACGACTTCAACAAATGCACCCAACTGCCTTCAAATTTTGCAACTTTGGAAAATGCTGGGATATTCTTTAGAATCCTTTCCCTCTTTTCTACTACTTTATCTACACTTCTTTCCCACTGTATTAAATTTCTTCTTCTTCCTTAACTCCAAATCCGCACCGTTTTAATTCTGCTTCAACACGTCAAATTAAACATGATTTTAAAAAGGGAAACGGAATGCAGAGCCTCCTTTAAAAAAAAAAAAATTATCTGCCGCACCCAATTTTTTGTTGGACCTTAAAGAGCAATAAAAAAAAATAACATTAATACAATTTAATAGCAACCGAATCGACAAGCTGGGAACTATAAAGCGTTCAACTTGAGAGCTTCCAAACTTGGAAAGGGTTCCTTGGCTCCGTTTCTGAACCAAGCGCCGATCCGATCTGCGCCAATTAACGGCAGATCCCGTTTACACGACAAAGGAACCAGAGATAAAGAAGCCACGCTTAAAAGCCCAAAACAAGCCAACCAACCCTGTATTTTTCTCCAGGCGATAAAGACGTTCCCTTGCTGACTTCCTGCACGCTGAAACCTCCTCGAAAAAGAGAAAAAGCTTCTTCTCTTCTCCCCGCAAATTAATCACATTCCGGTTTGGGGCGTTTAAGAAAGAGCAGCGAGCTGGATTTACAAGCATGGCAAGGCAAAGCGAGGCTTCAATAGAAGCTTGACTGCGCCCCTGGAACGCGCAGCCATTGGCTGCCGCGGGAGGCGTGAGAGGGTGATCAGGGAGATGATTGGCGGCCGTGGGGAGCAAAGCCACGCCTCCCCGCGCCACAGCTAACTAGCGTGGGGCTTTTCTGACTGGGTTCTGTTGCCCGCCCCTAGCGGCCGTTCGGAGTGTTGCAGCCTCAAACCAGGGACGCGCAGAATTCCGAACGCAACGGAACCCGCCCGGGGGTTCTTCGCACGTGTGAACGGGCACTAGAGAGCGTTTTTGGGCTCTTTTGGATGCGGGCATTTCCAGGAAATAAAATGAACCCGCATGTTTTCATCCCGAAGCCTCCACGCCCGTGCAAACCTTAGGAAGACTAACTGGGGGGAAAAAAAGACGTACCTCGTATCGGGTGAGCCTGCTTGCTAAGCAACCGGAGCCGTGTGAGTTTACTCGGAGGCGAGGCGCTCCTCCCCCACCTCTACGGGAAATGACAGCGAGCCCAACCCCAAACTCCCTTCCTCTCGAATAAGCCCTCCCCGCATCTAGATATTAGCTTAACAGAGTGGGAAGGGACCTTGTAGGTCATCTAGTCCAACCCCCCCCCCCCGCGCCGAAGCATGAGACCCTACACCATTTCTGAAAAAAAGCAGTGTGTGTCTGTCAGTCTTTTGCTTTGTGCAGTCTCTCCTCCCTCCCCCGGAGGAAATTACGAATGCGGGTGTGTTTTGTTTGTGTGTGTGCGTGTGTCAGTCAGTCACGTTTCTAGTGGGGGATTTGCCCGACCCGGGACCCTTCCAAACCCGGGGGCGGGGGGCATGGGTTTCCCACGCCGGTTTCGCCAGCGTTTCCTCAACAAGCCTGGATGAAGTCGGTTTGCATTCCGGTTTAACCCTAATCCCGTGCCCAGCCATCAGTGCTCCGTTTCCCCAACGCACCCCAGTAATACCCACACCCCCCAGGACCGCAGCGCCTGCAAACACGGAAAGCTCCACGTGCGCGCAAATACCCACGTTCTTCCAAAGCTGCGCGTGTCGACCCAGTTGGCTCTTGCGGCTGGCTGGTCTTTTGGGTTGGGAGAAGGGGAAAAGGCGGCAAGGGGCAGCAGCCCCGCCTGGATACGACCCGCCCTCCTGCCGGCCTCGGATGGCCTCGCGGGCTGCTTGGCTGCGCCGCACCCTGCGATCAAAGCCGGACTGCCTCGGCGAAGGCGAGCCCGCGGGGTAGAGAGGCGAGGCTCGGTGCCGGCCGGCCTTCCGCTGGCCTGCAGGTGGATTCCGACGTTGCACGAGACAGGGAGAGGAGGAGGAGGAAGAAGAGGGAGGAGGAGAAGAGGAGGAAGAAGAAGAGGAGGAGGAGAAGGAAGAAGAAAGAAGAAGGAAAAAAAGGAAATAAAGAAGAAGAAGAGGAGGAGGAAGAGGAAGAGGGAGGAGGAGAGGAGGAGGAGGAGGAAGAAGAAAGAAGGAAAAGAAGGAAAAGAAGAAGAGGAAGAGGAAGAGAGGAGGAAGAGGGGGGAGGAGAGGAGGAAGAAGAAGAGGAGATGAGGAGGAGAAGGAAGAAGAAAGAAGAAGGAAAAGAAGAAGAAGAAGAGGAGGAGGAGGAGGAGGAGGAAGAGGGAGGAAGAAGAAGAGGAGAAGGAAGAAGAAAGAAGAAGGAAAAGAAGGAAAAAAAGAGGAAGAGGAAGAGGGAGGAGGAGAGGAGGAGGAAGAAGAAGAGGAGAAGGAAGAAGAAAGAAGATGGGAAAGAAGGAAAAAAAGAAGAGGAGGAGGAGGAGGAGGAAGAGAAAGAAAGAAAAAGAAAAAGAAAGAAAACTTACTTTCCGGGTTGCCCAGACGTTTTCAGCACCCTGCACAAGCTGGTTTCTCCAGCTCTGCTCCTTGCGGATTACCTAGGCAAGGCTTCGTCTTTAAAGGGATTTTGGATATGATCTTAAGACTAATCCATGATAATACACTCGCTCGCCTTTAAAGGTCAGGAGAGAGCATTTGGTTAGGTTTTCCCGGAGTCCCTAAAACAAAACAACCCCTTTTTTGCCTTTTTTTTTTTAAAAAAAAAAGTGATCAGAAAGAAGGAGGGTGTTGATGGTGCTGATGGAAAAAAACCCAGGTTGACATTTGGCACGTTTTCTGTTGCAAGCCTTTCCAAAGTGGAGGCTTGGGTTTTTTCCATCATCAGTCAGGTACTTGATCTATTCCTCTGGACTGTTGTAAATGTCAGTGAGTTGATAATTTTTGGCTCTTCTTCTGTGTATTTCCCCATTTATATTTAGGAGAAATGCCAGATGACAAAACGTGTCTTTGAAAGAAAAGAAAAAAAAAAAACGTGAGCACCAAAGCCCTTTTTAAAAAGGTGTTGAATGGCAACCTGTCGATACCTTTGGTTATAATCAGTTAAAAAGCTGATTGACTATAAACCTCTGGAGAATCATTTTGTCGGTTTAAAAAGCCCTACTTGCTGTTTTAGATAGATAGAATACTTTATTGGCCAAAGGTACATTCGTTAAGAATCAAGAATCATAACGTACAACACTTAATGATAGTCATAGGGTACAATCAACAATCAAATCATACTAGGAAACAGTCAAGTGGGAGGGGATGGGTGATAAGGAGTGGTGAGAAGATTAACAGTAATAGTAGTGTACACTTTGTAAATAGTTGAACAGTTGTAACGTCTGTAGTAAAGAGTGAGTAGGTCTACAGTGGATTTTTACCACACTTGGAAAAGGATCTCCAAGAGGTCAAGACATTTCTGATTTAATCTCAGTCATTACACAGAGTCCAGCTACTAATGTGACTAATAATAAACACAATATACAAAAATCCTCCTCAGCATACCAATATGCTAGGAATCCATTGGCAATATCCATTTTACTCTCCAAATTCATGGACACCTAATCAGGCTCAAAAAACATGCACCTTCCTAACCATACCTATGGGTTCTGAATCCATTGGCGATGTCCATTTTGCTCTTTGAATTCATGGAGACCTAACTCTAAGTGGATTTTACCCCAGTGGGATTTTCCCATGTACTTTGCCAAGAAACCTAGATAAGGCAGGCTTAAAAAGCATGCACCCTCTGTCCTGGTCAGACAGTATATAGTTAATTGGGAATTGGGAGTTGTCTCTTTAAGGGAATGCCTCATGGGAAATGTAGTTCATGTCATGTGGTCACATCTGTAATCCTGATTGGTCACTGAATTGACCTCTAGTTGGGTTGGGGGAAGCCTTTGTTCTTTGCCTTGCCTGGACCCAATAAGGTGCTGGATCATTTGCTGTATCAATATGGGATGAAGATAACCATATTTTCACACTATGAAGACAACTATGCAAAGATTGGACATTAGATGAATCTCAGCGTAACTCTGAGTTATACCTTGAGGATGCCTATTATGATCCAATAAAGAGAATTTTGTATGGAAGCCTTTGTAGAGTTTTAACTGCTTATCTCAAGTATCTGAGAAGATAAATCTTGCTTGGGACAAGACACCCTCCTAACCATACCGATGGGCTCTGAATCCATTGGTGATGTCCATTTTGCTCTCTGAATTCATGGAGACCTAACCCTAAGTGGATTTGTCCACCAATGGGATTTTCCCATGTATTTCACCTGGAAACATAAATAGGGCAGGATCAAAATGTCTGCACTCTCCTAAGCCTACTGATGTGCAAGGAATCCATTGGCGATGTCCATTTTGCTGTCCAAATTCATGGAGACCTTACCCTAAGTGGATTGGCCCCCCCGATGGGATTTTCTTGTGTATTTTACAAGGAAACTGACAATAGAAATACAATGACTACGGCAAAAGAAAGCAAAAATGGTACGAATAGGTGCTGTGCAACCAAAACCATCTGGAGCTGCACTGAATACCATCAGCATTGACACAATCACCATCAGTCAACTGCAAAAGGCCACTTTACTTGGAACAGCTTACATCTCACTATGATACCTGTAATATTAAACAAGAACCTTTATCGCATGTCCTTAAGAAGTACTAGGTAGGTGGACATATGTGGCAATCCTGTGTAAACCTCTGGCTGACTGTATGACGAGTATAATCATTTGAATTTTGCATTGTCAAATGATTTGGGGGAGGGTGACTTTCCAATAAAGGCGAAAATTGGGGGTATTCTCTGTTTTTGTAAAAAAAAAAAAAAGAATAGAGAATACCCCAATACCTGAGCAAATGGGGAACTCGGTATCCTGTATGAGTCGGAACTGCCTCTTGTGGTCTCTAGAAACTCAGCTGTTTAATGATAGATGACATGTACTGTTTGGAAAGGCTTAGATTAAATCAATTGGCATTACATTAAAAAAGTAAAACAGGTTCCTGTGTAAGTCTTGAAGAATCATCATTAGCGGTTCGGTTTGTTTGGTTTTAGGGTTCAGTGCAATGAAGCATTCTGAACAGTGGTGGGATTCAACATTTTTTTTTACTACAGGTTCTGTGGGCGTGGCTTGCTGGGTGTGGCTTGGGCATGGCTGGGGAAGGATACTGTAAAATCCCCATTCCCTCCCCACCCAACTAACCTGCTTTCCAGCTCCGTTCTCCTGTGCAGGGCAACCAAAGAAGACCCAGCCAATCAGCTGGGACTCGGGAGGCGGAGAATAGATGGGGGCGGGGCCAGTCAGAGGTGGTCTTTGCTGGTTCTCCAAATTACTCAAAATTTCCACTACTGGTTCTCCAGAACCAGTCAGAACCTGCTGAATACCACCTCTGATTTTGAAGCTTATTCAAGGAAAGATGGCTGCCACAAGGAAGAGGGGGCCAACTTACTTACCCAAACACCCCTAGGCAGGAAAAGAAACAATGGATGGAGAGAAGCAATCTAGAACTAAGGAGATCATTTCTAATAGCGAGAACAATTAACCAGTAAGAACAAATTGTCTTCGGAAATTATGGATGCCCCAATACTGGAGGCTTTTAAGGACAGAGTTGACAACCACCTATCAGAAATAGTATAGGTCTCCTACGAGAGCAGGGTGTTGGAATAGATGACCTCAATGGTTCCTTCCAACTTTGTTAACTGTTACTATCTAGGT